CATGGGTGGTTATTCAGAATGGTTTTCTGTTAGAAAGGGGGAGCCTAGGGGAGAGGGCAGGGGGAGGGGGAGGTGGCGAAGGTGGCAAAACCAGATGGCCATGGTATAGTCTCCCGTATAAAGGGGTAGCCTAGGGGGTAAGGGCGGGGGGAGGAGTACAAGGTAGTAGTCGCACTTCAATCCTGGCAAACACAAAGTGAGACAGCAACCCCTGACTCCCCTTTTCTGCAGATAGACTGTCAGTGCTTCACTCTTTATTATGTTTGGGGGAAAAAAAGAAAAAAAGAAAAAAAGTTCGCTCCAGTTGGAAACATGGTCTAAACCGCTAGGGCCCAATTTGTCTACGTCATAAAGTAATGTGGCTAGGGACAAAAAAGGAAAAACAAAAAAGTGGCTAGGGGCAATCCTGGTGTGGCCTGCAGTAACACAACTTTCAAGGACAACGATCCTTCTCTATATACAACAGCTGCACGGCAGACAGCCTCTGAAGGGAACACTGACTAGCCACTGCCGACAGTTAAAACTTCGTTGTACTTGTCAATATTGCACTCCTACTCTCCTGCCTTTTCTACACCATACAAGTATTAAATGAGACTAATAGGGATAATCCTACCTGGTGTTGCCTGTGATAATAGACGGATAGACTGCACTCTATAGCTATAGACAACAGCCGCAGGGCAGGAACATTCTTGAGGCAACAGCTGCACAGCAGAAAGCCTCCGAAAGGAGCACCGACTAGCCACCGGCGAGAGTTCAAACACTGACTAGCCACCGGCAAGAGTTAAAAAACACACTGACTAGCCACGGGCGAGAGTTTAAAAACACTGACTAAAAAAAAACAAAAAAAAAAAACACTGACTAGCCATCGGCGAGAGTTAAAAAGCACTGACTAGCCACCGGCGAGAGTTCAAAACCACTGACAAGCCACCGGCGAGAGCTATAAAACACTGACTAGCCACCGGCAAGAGTTAAAAACTTCTTTGTATTTCTCTCATTATTGCACTGAGTCTCCTACTCTGCTGCCTTTTGTAAGCTATACAAGTAATGCGGCTAGTGGGGATAATCCTGGTCTGGCCTGTGATAACAGACCGATCGACACTACTCTATAGACAACAACACAGTTGGACTGCAGGAAGTGTCTCTGAAAGCAGCACTGACTGCACGCCTGCGAGGACTTTTAACTTCTTCTTCATATTTCTGATCATACTCCTCTTTCCGTGCCATCTCCCGCAGGCCGCTCTACCACGCCCAGGCCTCGGGCCAGACACCGGTCGTTCCACCACACGCCCAGGCCTCGGGCCAGACACCTCTCGTTCCATCACACGCCCAGGCCTCGGGCCAGACACCGCTCGTTCCATCACACGCCCAGGCCTCGGGCCAGACACCGCTCGTCGTCGAGCTTAGTGTGACACTTGTCCAAAGAATATATACCGGTAGGTTGTGCAGTCTGTCTACCCGCCCGTGAGGAGTTTAACTTCTTCATATTTCTTATCGTACTCCTCCTTCGATGCCATCTCCTGCAGGCCGGTGTACCACGCCCAGGCCTCGGTCAGACATCGCTCGAGATTAGCAGGGCTCGACTTGTTCGACGACGAATGCTGCTTCCTCAAGCCTCCGATCAGGTTCCTTAGTCTGTCCATGGACTCTTTCGCTGCCCAGATCCTCGCGTCCTCCGCTTTCGCTTCTGGCGTGTAGCAATCGGTGGCCTCCGCCCCAAAGGCCAGAGAGTGTGCAACATCGGTATCGAGTGTCACAGTGGCCTCCACCTTCCTCCCAATGTCCCTATGTTTCGCGAGTACCTCCGCCGTGGCATGGAGAATGCCGTGAACATCGAGTGTGAGCACGATCTTCACGGCAGGCTGGTCCGTCGCTGGACCAGGAGTGAACCCCTCCAGAGTCAGTTCGCCCAGGAACCTGTTATACGCGCACAGAGCACGCTCCCCTTCATACAGCGCCGCGGTCAAGGACTCCTGGTTATCCAGCAGCGCATACGTGGTACTTCCACTGGCAGGAAGGGGGGAGTTTCTGGGGATGACGACACGCATGATGCCGAACTTGGTCGTGTCCACTCCGATGCTCAGAGAGGTAACATCGCGGACCGACACCCTCCTGGCCTCCGCCGACCGGTCGCTTCTGGCCAGCAAGCCCGCCTGCAATGCGGCTCCAAATGCGACAGCCTCCTCGGCATTGACAGACTTGATGGGCTCCTTGCCAAAGAAGGCCGTCAGCATCTCTCGCACCCTGGGAATCTTCGTGGACCCCCCCGCAAGGACCACATCTGAGACCTCATGCTTGCTGATCTTCGCATCCTTAAGCGCTTGTTCGACGATCGTCATGCACCTGTCGAACAGGTCCTGATTCAGGGACTCAAACTCGGCACGGCCCAATTTCAAGCTGAGGACCCGGTCGTGGTAGTCCAAATTGATATCTGCCTCCATGGCAGAAGACAGAACGTGTTTGGCATCCACCACCGCTTGATTAAGCAAGGGGAAAATCATAGGGTCGCCTAGGACATCTTCCCCGCGAAGCTGCTTCTTGAACTGCTTGGCGACATGGCGGAGCAGGCGTCTGTCGATGTCCGCGCCTCCCAGATGGGAATCTCCGGCCACTGCATTCACTACGAAGCTGCACTGTCCACGTCGCACGGCATCTATGGTGACAATGGACACGTCAAAGGTACCCCCCCCCAGGTCGAACACCAGGACCGTCCTCCCCATCGCCTCCTTCCGGATCAACTGCTGATAACTGTACGCCAGTGCGGCGGCCGTCGGCTCGCTCATAAGTCGCAGCACCTTCAGTCCTGCGCTGACTCCGGCCGCCATAGTCGCCTTTCTCTGACTGTGATTGAAGTACGCCGGTACAGTGATCACCGCATCGGTTATGGGACAGTCGGCGAAGTCCTCCGCGATCTGCTTCATCGTTCTCAGCAGCCTGGCCGAAATGTCTTCCGGTTTCATCGAGCTGGCCCTGCCCGGTCCCTGCGGCACGCTGACAACGACTTCGCCGTGCAGACCCGAGGACACCTTGAAAGGCCACTTCTTTGCGTCCTCCTGAACGGTGGCATCGCGGAAGGATCGCCCCATCAGCCGCTTGACCTCGAAAATGCACTCCGCCGGATTGGTCATGCCGTGTTTCTTGGCGACATCCCCCACCAGACACCCGTCCTCTCCTGCGAATGCCACGTAGGAAGGCGTTAACCTGCGCCCCAGGGCATTTGGAATGACTTCAATCTTGTCGATGTTGCGGAAGACAGCGACGCAGCAGTAAGAGGTCCCCAGATCGATTCCTATGACAGGATTGTCTTCCATGGCGAATCTTCTACTGTCAAATAGCAGGCTGTCGTCGAGGTCCGGCGGCGGCGCGGGTCCTGCCGGCCGCTTCTTCTCCCCATTCGGCGGAGGGGGGGGATCATCCACCTTGGTCGTCTTTGGCCTCGAGGGAGGCCACTCTATGTCCTCTTCCACAATCTTCGTCCTAACCGGTGGCTGTTCTCTGCCATCGGTCACAATCGTCGGCCGTAGAGGTTCATCCTCATGGAAGCTGCTTTGCCTCACACGCTCACCGCTCTTCCATTTTCCTGGGCGCGGCTGTCCGCCTGCTAGACACGCGAACGCAGTTCTGAAACACATAGTAACAGCTCTCTCTCTCTCTCTCTCTCTCTCTCTCTCTCTCTCTCTCTCTCGTGTGCTGTCGTCTTTGCCCCTATTACCACGCGTCGCTGCGTTCCGAGGTGCGTTGTTTCCTTACTAACACCGTTGCACGGTGTTGGTGTTCCCTCGCTAACGCCCTACACCACTTTATTTTTGTCCCTTTATTATATCTTTAACGCACCAAGCAAGGGATCTACCTGTCTACCTATCGATGCGATGCGTCATTAATATCATTCAAATTATTACCAGCATCACGTCTGCTACTAATATATCCGTCGGTGCGTTCCTTCCAGTAAATCCCTTCAACCTAACGATCATGCCCTCTCTCTCTCTCTCTCTCTCTCTCTCTCTCTCTCTCTCTCTCTCTCTCTCTCTCT